TATTATTATTATTATTATTATTATTATTATTGTTGTTGTTGTTACTCGTTGAACTTGCAACGGTGGTCGCGGTGGCGGGAAGATGGGGGAGAGAGAGAGAGAGAGATATCTATATGCATATCAAAACCATACCTGTGTGAGAGAGCTTGACGGCAGTGGAGTTTCGTTCAAGTTGCAGTGAGGGTTCGAGTGATCTAATTTTTTAACTAATATGAAGGACAAAACATGTCATATTTAAATTTCTTTGGAGACATTTTTGTCTTTCACATACCTCTAAAATACATCTGACCACTTAAGGACCCCGTCCACCTCTTATTAATTAAGATATGAATATGGATTTTATATCTAGTAATAAGAGAGAATACCAAACAAAGATAGCGTTTGGAAAACAACCTTTTCAGACCTCAGAAGTCTGAAAAGTGTTATCAAATGCCACCTTGACTTCAAATGGAGTCTAATAAAATCCATCCGAGGAAAGTGTAAATTATAATACATTTGGCAACAGTTCGAAGAGACTGTTGAAAATTACATGGATCTGAACCGTGGATATGTATCAATTAAAAAGTGTATAAAGTCGCATTTATCTTCTTCACTTTTAATTTGTTGCTACCAAATTCTTTAATTAAAAGCTCTGGCTGCATGCATGCATCATGCACTCTAATGTAGCGCGATCTGACTACTCCTTGCTGGAGGATGATCTGGCTTCCAATCGGGCAGCGAGATAGGTGAATCAGCAAGACAGCGAATCAGAGAACCTGGGGTGGCTAACCCGGCAAGGTCGCTCCGATGCTTAAGTCAGTAAACTATGTTGCGAGCTGAAAAGCTTTGAGAGCTAGAGAGCTAGAGAGTAGAAAAATCACGTGTACCTTGTATCATTGGGGTTTGTGCCTTTATATAGTTGAGTCCTCGCGGGTTTTGTGGATCGGTTCCGGGATTTTCGTCCTAATGGGATCCGTTTCCGCTTTAATTGGGGAGTAACGTTATCAACTAATAAAGATTATCAATTCCGCCCAATCTGGGCGGGAGAGGATTAGGCCTGCCATTACGTGGCGTGATCCCGTGAGGTTCGGAGTCTGTTGGAGGGACTTCCGGGATCGTTACGTAGCGGTCTGGGTCGGTAGCCCCGAGCTAATATTTTGATCTTTTAGTTCCGAATTGGATTGAATGCCAAGGTGCCTTGATGCCGAGGTAACTTTACGCCGAAGTGACCCTCTGCCAAGGTGACCCTATGCCGAGGTGATTGAATACTCAATTTCAATTATTGCGAACTAGACTTATCGGGCTGAGCTATCATCTCTTAGTCAGATTGTGTCCATGTGTCCCCTTCTCGCTAGGTCACGCCAAATCATTGACATGAAAACCATTGGCCTGAATGGTTCCAGTTCCAGATCAGTTTTTAAAACCTTGATTCTAATCGTGTTTTTTTTTTGAATGCTTTATTTAAAAAATAATAAACATTAAAATGCATATCAACATGTCTGTGTCTTCTTACGGGTGGCAAGATGTTCCATCCCTTGATGGGATCAAAAGACTGGATATAATTTTTTTTTCCTTTCCTTTCTTTTTTCTGCCTTTCCCTGGATGAAGTGTGTAGCCTAAACTTTACTGAGGAAAATATCTGTATCCAATACTAAAGGCGTACTAAATAATGAATCCAGCGCTCCTCAATGTATTGCTAATACTTTGAATGTGGATGAGACATTGAATCATTTGTTTTGATGAATTTGTAGTATAGGCCCCAAGTTTGTCATTTGCCATTGTTAATATGATGACGATTATGGTTTTGGTCTTGTGGACGAAATGCCATTAAAGTTGGAGTGTACAACTACAGACAAGATTCAGGTGTGATTCAATTCGAATTGAGAGGCAGTAGTTTTGCCCTGCAATGAATCCCTACGTGGCACCCTAAATTAAAGGAAGGATAGAGAAAAGCTGGTGGATCCATTCGATTTGGCTATTCTTTCCAGCTTTAGTCTAGTTAGATTCAATAAATGACTGAATGAATAGTGAAGCAACCCCACACCCCAACAACCTGGCGTGTTTGGTATAGTGGTGTTGTAGTTGTGTTTTAATTAAGTTGATTTGTAAGAGGGAATTTTTCATCTGAAATGCTTTGAAAATGTTTTGAGTTTATCGATATAATTTGCTACTTCTATATAAAATGTTAAATTTGTATTGATCAATCCAAAATACAGAATTTGATTGTTGCTTTTATTCTAGATCAAATTTATTCCTCACAAGGGGCGCTTCACACCGATCTCACACTCACATCTTACTATGCATTGGAAATATCTTCCGTACTTGTAAGTTATTATTAACGGAAGATGTTCCCAATACACGTGAATGTGCCTGTGAGATGCCCGTCTGAGGAACAGATCCCATCTCCCTTTATCCGATCCTCAGGATTTTACTTTCTTTAAGGATATTAAATGGCCCCCACTTTAGGTCTTCATCTTGATATTATATAAAGCAACAATGTTATCCATCATTTCCACAACAGATAGATACTTTTGCAAGTCTTTGGCTGTGAAACATGAAGAATCTAGGCACACCCTTCTCTGCACTTGGCCTTCTTTGTCTACTTCTCATCTTGAATTCAAGATCAACCACCTCTCAGGAAAGTGGTAATGGCCAATGCAGATTAGTCTTTCTTTTTTCTTCAATTCTCTAGTTTGAGGTGTGTCAAAGAAACTAACTTCATGTATATGTAAATCGTGCTTGCAGAGGATGAGAAATCATTTGATTATGTGGAAGGGAGCAAGAAGGGGCCTGATCACTGGGGAGAGCTCCGTGAAGAATGGGCGGCCTGCAAGAAAGGACATATGCAGTCCCCAATCGATTTGTTGCATCAAAGGGTGGAGGTGGTGCCAAACTTAGGGCAACTAAAGAGAAGCTACAGGCCTTCTAATGCAACCCTCAAAAATAGGGGCCATGATATAGAGGTAACCATGTAATGTTGATTTGCAAATCATGTAGGGGTGCAAATTGGGTTGGGTTAGTTTAGGGTTGACCTCAAACTAGAGGTCACTGAAATTGCCTCAAATTGACGTGCTCGCTGACCCACCTACTCGCTTCTTACAGATAATATTGCCTCAAATTGACAATATTCCATGCTCGAGGTACTTGTTTCCCTTCGAGGGTCTCGAGCTCGTATGTTCCTTCCCCGAGCACTCGTTTCACTCGGTAAGGACCTTCCCAATTGGACCCGAGTTTGCCAGTGCCAGGTTCAGGTACCATAACTTTACGAAGGGCCAGGTCGCCAACGTGGAGGTTCCGCTTCTTGACCCTGGCGTTGTAGTACCGAGCTACTCTGCTGGTAGGCTGCGGTCCTAATGTACGCGAGATCCCTTACTTCGTCGAGTAGGTCGAGGTTGGTGCGTAGCTCATCCTCATTTGTTTGATCACTGTATGCTTCTAGGCGCAACGTAGGTACTTCGATCTCTGCGGGGATC